GTTTATTGTTAGCTTATAACTGATCATTCAATTTAACTGCTACCACTGTCGTATTCTTGGGTGCAATTCTTACCGTCATCGTAAAATTCCATATCATAGTTGAGACTTTTCCCATGTCAGTGTCCTGGCCAAAGTACACTAGCATTTGCGTCAGAACCTCGTTGCAGGATTGCGATAGCTAAAAATAAAAAAAACATATTTGCACGTCTTAAGCGATTCAAGAAACTATTTCCTATTTATTTTCGTACTAAAGGCGGATAAATAGTAACAAATTGCTTTGTATTAGCTACAAGTACAACGGATTGACGAAGAGAGTTCCTGTCAGATGGAATGGAGAGAGAACCAACCTTAGTGGGATTGGAAAAGAGAACTGCTACTGCGATGATTTGTGCAACAAGCAGAACGCCAAGAATGATCGCATACTAGAAAAAAAAAACAAGAAAGAGATGTGTTGGGGTCCTTCTCACAACGATCAAAGAATATAAACGTAGGAAAAGCACGGGTAAAATTATATTTCCAGGACTGTCTTCATTGTAATCATCAGACATTTTTACAGGACAAGTAAACTGAAAATAAAAGGCAACGTTTTTAAGCTCAACAGATTTTGTAATAATTTATGCTACCATATTATTGTATCTATGTGTTTGTGAATTGTAATTCTGCTTAGCAAATATGTACAATCTAGTGTCTAAAACTATTTTGGGTTACCGTTTCCAATAATTCGGAACACACTTTTATATTTGGTCATGTTTCGTGCCGTTTTTTGAACAGACGTTTGAGTTAATTTTTTTGTTCATTCCTGAATTCTGTGAGAAATCCCATTTTTTGATTTAGGATTAACAAGCCGTTTTGGCAAACAACTGTTTTCGATTATTAATCATCAGCATTTACAGGCCCCATGTTAATGTAAAGGCCTGTTGATGAATGATCGAAAACAGCTTTTTGCCAATACGACTTATGCCTGAATATTGCAACACAATTTGAGCCTACTGAAAGTAAGATATTACATAAAAAAAGCATAAATCATTAAGCTGAAGTAACTTACAATCTTAAGAAGAAGTCCGCAAATACAGCAGGCGGCAAAGGCGCCGACGAAGCAGAGAGCAGCCAGGATCAGACCAACAACAATGAGGACAATAGAGAGGCTGGCTAAAATTTAAATAGAAAAGTGTCTTTTTGTAATAGCGACGAGTCGTAGTCACATGAAGCGTCACTACTTTCTTGTTTAACACTCTCATATCCTTCATATAGTGTCAGAAAACGTACTTGCGTGCTCAAGGACGAACTCAGTCAGAAACATGGCTTGATCATCTGGAACGTCGCCACCAAAACTGAGGCATGTCTTAAGGAGGGATTTGACGAAGCCCGCAGACGTCTTCAGAAGAAGGCCCAGTAGGGCCACAACAAGGAATGCGATCTGTTTGTTGGAAATAATACAATGGATGTGAGACTGCTTGTTTTAGCAGTCATATTGAATGAAACATGAAGGGGAATAAAACCTCTACACACTACTTATTCTATATAAATATATATATATATATATATACAGCGTTAGTAATGACTCGTACCCCCAAAATCACATTGATTGTGGTAATGACAAACTTGAGCAAAGCTGCAATCGCGCAGCACATGTTGTTTTCGCCTGAAACAAAAAAGGAAATGTTATTGTCCAACTATCTCGGGAAGGCATGCTTGGTATTTAAACGCAACCCAGCTTAAGCATTCAATAGTTTGGTAAACATAAAAGATAATAATATGTCAAAGAACTTGTTGGCTGGTTCCTAATTAAAAAAATAAAAGATTATATACAAAGTTTAATTAAATTCAATTTATATGCATTTACTTCAGGCCCTATTTTGAGGCTTAGCATAGCTGATTTGAAGACAAAGTAGGGCATACTAATTTTGGAATCCTCGATGGGAAATATTCAAACGTGTACCAATTGATTTGCTTACTGTGTGTGTTGAAAATAGCGGGTAGGCAACTGCAGATGACGTTGAAAGTGCGCTTTGGCAGGCCTTTTATATTACCCACTTGGGATGCCCTCTCCGCCTACCACCAATTGACATGTTATTCAGGTGGTTTTGTTTTCCTCCGTCGCCTAGCAACCAAGAGGGTCGATAAACCCAAGCAGCCTAACACGGCACGACCTCTGTGCAGAGTGGTATGCTTCAGACAGCCACGCATCAATGTACTAGATTTGAGGAAGGTTTCCAAGACTGAGAATGCAAGAATACTCCGAGTTTTAAAGACAGTACAATGGGTGTGACTGGGGCAGTAGATATCTAGCAATAATTACATAGAGCGTTTTGTTTCGGTTGATTTCCGCTTTAAGTTTAATTCTCTGTAACCTAACATCAGTTTAAGCTCTTAGCGTGATTACAAGTGCTGCAAATGTCCCTCTTGTTGCATAATCAACTGGTAAGAACCCTGCTTTACGATAAGTCAATTCTTGCATATGCCATATTTTTTATCCCACAAACTATATATAATGACTCTTTGAGAGCTTCCTCCGAGTGATAATTAAATTGTATGTCATATTCTCATTTTTAGCAAAAGAGAGCATCCGTTTTCGTACGACGATATTTTTCGGTGAAATTCGAAAGATTTAAATTTTTTAAGGAAATATATTTAAATCAAGTAGAGAAGCTCGTGAAAAGTTGATCATCTCGTTTAGCTCCTGAAGCCGCCAACGACGCCGTACATTTCAGTCACTTTCATCACATACCTTCGAGAAAACATTAGCAAAACTCTTAAAGAGTTGTCTTATTTCGGAATCTGGAAAATCTCAATTCCGGCGCCATGGAGGCGATATATTAACAACTACTTTCGTTACAGGTCGCGGTAATTTGCTTTCTGGGCGTTAAGCTAGGACTAACCTCATCCACATTTACTCATAAACACTACAAAGTACCCCATCGGGAATATTAACGAAGATGCGCTTAAATGTGATTCAACCCATGAGCACATTCTTCTTATCGGATTAACTACTTTTTATAACCCCTAACTATACCGAGTGTCCGAAATAAATGTATATACATTTAACCTTACTTTCGAATTGGTTCTTATCATAATTTTATTACTAAATTAATGTAAAGATACTTAAAAGTATCATTTTATTGTGCTTTTCACAGAATATTTTCAAACCGACTACGATTTTGATCATGATACTGCTGACAACGCGAAGCGATAGAATTGCACATACCATGAAATAATTCCCTTGGTATTCGTGTGCATTCACGTTCAATGGCTTCTCTTAAATCAGCCGCGGTTGCAATAGGTAAAATGCTATGAAAAAAAAACAATAAAATGATACTTGTATATATTTTTACGTTTTTGAAATAATAAAATTATAAAAACCATCAAGTTTACAGTTATTTAAAATGAGTATACTTTTTGGATACCCCGAAGTTCTTTTCGTCCGCACTGCTCTTCTTTTAGCCGAAGATCGACGTTTGGCAAGTTTGGATTGCAAATACATAGACGACTGGCACTGCTTTGTGTATTGCGAGTGTGGTCTACATTTACCAATTTGGGATGCCAACTTTGTAGAATATGAACAGTCCTTTGAGATAAAGATATAGTTAGTGGCTAAATCCAATTTCGTGAAATTGGTGGTGTATTTCGGTCGATCAAATATTTATTTTGTATTCATTTAGTTACGTTTCGTCAAATATTGCTGTGAAATTTTGGTTTTCACCTAAAAGGAAATAGCGCTGCCTGATAGACTCCAAGTCAGTGATTAGGTTCAGGGGTAATATAAAACAAAAAATAATTTTTATACTGCATTATATACCGTAAAACACAGGACGTACACTGATGAACCGAATACCTCACAGCTATGTAATATAGTGCCTGAACACCTGTGCAGCAGCCATCTATGTTTGCAGCTAGTACACATGCCGCTAGTTGTTTTATCTTGTAATCTTCATAGATCCAAAATGCGTCTTCGAACAAAACCAAAAAAGTCATAAGGCCCGAGGATCTGCCGTGCAAAATACAAAAAAAACGGTTGTCAAGATGTGGGACATTTATATTCCAACAAAGTAAAATTGGGTGAAAGTTGCAGCAGCACTGAGCCCAATTACGCCAATAGTGTACTCAAATACAGTAGATGAATTGTGAAGATTAAAATTTGACTGAGGGATTAAGCTCACATTTGAGCTTGTTTATTTTGTTTATTGGGTTATCATGAGGCGCAAAATGCAGTTTTAATAGAAAGGACTGCCGTTCAGATTAATATACCGGAGAAAAATAGGGGTAGAATTTGCCCATCTCCAACGTTTACTGATATCCAAGGAATGTCCTGTGTTATTAAATGCCGCGGAATAAACGTCCTGTTTGCTCGTGTTGTACTATAAAACAACAGCAATAACGACCACACACTTTTTAATTATATGTCTTCACAAAACAGAAAATGTTGTTTTGCGTCAAAGTGAGGTTCGTGTACTTATGAAGGCAGGTTTAAAAGTGGTTCCTTAAAAATCTGCTATGTTTTATTCCCTCAAGATAAGTTATAATTTTCCTAGACCGAAAGTTGTTTAACTACGCCAAAATTACTGAGCGTATTTGACTGTACATGAAACGTCATAAATTTTCTATGTGGCGCCGTTAACGAACCCCATCCACATATTTTCAGAATATAGAAAAGAATCAATTAATATAAAAACCTGAATTGGAACAGGCAGAAGATTATAATGTTTTAAAATATCCAAGGATATATTCTATCATTCTGCTTTGCATTCGCAATCAAATAGTTGTCAAAAAACTGGTCACAATATCTCTTTTTAATCTTGACTTAGTCTTCAAAAAAAGTAAAGTACACAGGTGTTCTATGCGTAACTATACAACTAAAGCGCTATTTCATGAGGTAATTAGTTATAGGAAGTCTTTTTCATTCATCTTAGGTGTATTCATTTTTGACTGGTGCTGTAGACGTTCATGTATCTTTGCAATGAATTGACATGTTTGGGTGAAACTTAAAAAGTAAATCAAACCCAAAACGGCAGAAGAAGGAAGGCTTATCAGACTCATTATTTAGATAAATGCTTTTAGAGAAAATTGAATAAAAACACTAAAGTTTCTAAAGTTTTAAGCAGAATTTAAAGAACAATGCGAAATCATTAGAAAGGAATGTGACGACAAGAAATTTATCTCAATGTACACAAGATGTTAGGAATTTGATTAGACGTACAACAGTAATTTAACTTTTTAGTAAACAACCAGCGTCTTCGTGTGTGGCTTTTAATCTGTTTTTATTCCTGCCAACATTCCGCATTTGATTCGGATATAAATGTTTTGCAATTGTCAATATATATTGGCAAAATGGACCGAAGTATCTTTCCATGCATTTAAAAACTTAAGTTTTTATTCAATACATACATCGCACAAACCACTTTAGATAGGTTGGACACATCTACATCTGACAGACTCGATGCTATTTTAACTGTTAATGGACACTATGCAAAGGTTATTAATTTTGTATTTTTGCTTATTCTGTATTAAGATTTCGTTTTCGTACGCTCTTATGTTTTGAATACATTCATATTTAGCATTAGATCAGTGACTTGTCATAGAGCCATTATCTCATTTTCCAGTTTTCTTGTAAAAATTAAACATTTTTGTGTTAGTAAATGCTAATTTATCAACAAAACCATGTAATTTTTGAGTTATGGTGCTAAACTTACTGGTATAATAGTTGTGGATACGCCGCGTGCGTTAGCTCCACACAAAAAATCTGCTGTATGTTTGGGGTCATCGAGATGTATATCTTTAAATATAAACACTGATTTAATTGATGTGGAATTTGATGGACCGCTAACAGTGCTATCTCCCCTTCCTTGGTCAGGGTCCGCTGCTTCATCTTCATGCAACTTCATAGACGGCTGTTCTCTGACTGGCTCACCCCAAGGACCCTTGACTGACTTCCCAGA